GTATACACAGTAGAGGTGGGCGATATATATCGCAGACAATATCGTCTATGTAGCTTTGAAGATATGCAATCTTATATTATCGAGTATTCATACTGTCTCAAAAAGACAGTGGCTGCATCTAAGCCAATCAGCAAGCAGGATTCCGTCACATGATTGGAGTCGATGGCAACTGAACTAAACAGCGGGCAAAAGTCAGTCTAGGACCTACGGCAGCCAAAACCACGGGGCTTACACGCGAGTGCGCCTCAGCGAGCACATGCTCGACATCCTGGAGAACATCATGGGGTGAATGTCTGTAAGTGGAAAGCGCTTTGGGGTCCAGAGGGACTTGATAAAGCACTCTATAAATACAGCCCATTTACCATTTTACCATCACCATGTTCTCTATGACAAGGGTTCCCAAAGTGGGGGCCGCGCGCCAGGGGGCGCTAGGGGGGCCTCAGGAGGCTGAATGGTTTTCTATTTCTTTTAACTTCTGTAAATGTAAGATCTGTCAGTTGAACCTGGACATGTTTGGTATCAAAAGAAAGCTTGGCTAAAAGCTCATGGAAACTATTTTTACATTCACCAAACACTGTTCAGACATCAAGCAGTTGAATCAGAAAGTAAACAAATTCTACAAAATGGCCTCAGTGCAAATCTGTAAAGAAATTCAAGCAAATCTGTAAAGGAAAGAAATTGACATTATTTTTTCATGCAAGTCAAAATAGATACCAAAATATGTTGTGAAGTGTGTTGAAAGTTTTTTTTCACTTGATTTTGAGTAAATATGGTCCAACTAAAGTCAAATACGTATATTTTCCTCATTATTTTATATAATATGGTGACAAGTAAATGTTTGATAATTATTCAAAAGAACAAACATTTAATCACAAGTCTTTTCAAGCAGGTAAGAAAATAAATAACTTTTGCAATTAAAAACTTCAAATTTCTTAAACATTTATTAATGGTACCATCATGGTCTGTCCTGTGCAGAATGACAAAATGCTAAATTATTTCTTTACTAAAACCTCTGTAACTTTGCTTCAGTTCATTTTAGCAGCATGAATATTTGCACAGGTAATGTCCACAAGTGGATTTATTGTTTCCAAGAGTTTTTAGCCTTCTTCCTTATGGTTTTAAATGGTTTATATACTATCTAATGAAAAAATTATTTGGGTGCGAGTGGGAAAAAAAGTTCCATCCTCAATATCTTTAAAGCCACATCAGCTGTTTTATTATTTTCTCTTCTGATGAAATCTCCCAACAAAAAAAAATCAGTCCGTTTTACAATTACTATTTTAAATATAATTTATAACAATATATTGAAAGGTCGTTTCCCATGCTCATCTTTCTGATTTGTCAAGTTTTAGATTTAAAAGATAAAGGAAGTATGTACATACATATATTGATGTATTAAATTGTCAACTTGCAAGGGGGCCCCCTGGCCAGAAGCTAAAGTTGTTTGGGGGGCCTTGGCATGGAAAAGTTTGGGAACCCATGCTCTAGGACAGTGGTTCCCAAAGTTGGGGTCGGGACCCAAAGTGGGGTCCTGAAACATAAAGGTGGGGTCCTGAAAAGATTTTCTGAATTAATTACACTAAAAAATGAGAAGTAACAAACTTTTTATGCATTTGTTGTTACAAAAGAGTATGGTTAGTGTATTTACATAGGACAAAAATAGCTTAAAGAATATTGTTACCATGTCCTTGTTTATCTGACATGAAAACAGTGTTTATTAACCAACAACAGCTGGGGTCTCAGGTCTCTGCTGCTGGTATTTTGTGGGTCAAAAGCTGATAAGTTTGGGAACCACTGCTCTAGGAGACCATGTTTCAAATGTCTTTGTAGTTTATTATATCCATAGATGTCCTAGTAAGCAAGCAAGGTTTGATAGCATGCTTTTTTTTCTTTTACAGAAAGAAATTGTCAGATTATCAATATTGGCAAATGAAAAACAATTATCAAGATTGATTTGCTCATTTCGCTGTCAATCAAAAAGGGATTCAGGCTCAGACAGATCATCCATTCGTCATGCAGAAGCTGAGCGTCCGAGCCTGCCCACAGCCCCATAGACCCCCAGAGATGCTGAGCGTCCAATGTGCGGGGCAAAGGCCAGCATTAACCAATGACTCATCTTGTTTCGCAGCACTCTTTGCGTCACAATTGAACTCTGTGGACTCTGAGCTTCYGCACTGTTTAAAGCACTGTGAAGCTGCGGGAATGAGTGACAGGAAAGCTGCGTCGTTACCAGTGATAAGAACCTGATTCTGAACGTTGAAAGGTGAGCACGTTRTAGCGCATATTTAGTCAATGACATGWACACACAACATTATATATTTATCTTTTTTTGTAATTTTTTTTTTTACATTTTAGGGGAAGTTGAGCTTCCCTTGCAGTCTTAGAGCAATCACCCCTTCATTAGTTTTAGGGTTGGTGGTCAGGGTTAGGCTGTAGAAATTAATGGAAATCAATGCCAGGTCCCTATAAAGATAGTTGTACCAGATTGTGTGTGTGTGTGTGTGTGTGTGTGTGTGTGTGTGTGTGTGTGTGTGTGTG